AGATTGGCTGCATGGGATTTTGTGCTTGTTTGATGTAGCTTCCGTTCTCAACCGGTAATTTAGTCACTTGGAGGGCCACGATCGCCCTCTGAATTCTGATGTTCTGAGTAGTAGGTATGAATGCCTTTTCTCAACTGTTGATAACATAAAATATACTATCAGTGACACAAGAACAGTGAAATAGATAACTGTACTTAAGATGCTGCTCCCTCCAGCACCCAGATCATTTATGTATAAAGTAGATAAAAAATATCAAGATAGAGCCTTGGAGCATCTCTCCAGAGGCTCACCATTCAAAAACCTTATTGTCTTAATCTCTGCTTTTGTTTGCTGCAATTTTTTTGGAGCCGGTCGGCCGAGCGGACAGCACGCTGGACTTATGATCCTCTGGTCCTGGGTTCGATCCCAGGCGCCTGCGAGAAACAATGGGCAGAGTTTTTCACCCTATGCCCCTGTTACCTAGCAGTAAAATAGGTACCTGGGTGTTAGCCAGCTGTCACGGGCTGCTTCCTGGGGGTGGAGGCCTGGTCGAGGACCGAGCCGCGGGGACACTAAAAAGCCCCGAAATCATCTCAAGATAATCTCAAGATTCTATACGTTTAAAAGAGCGAGAGTAAAACTATCAAACATAGTCGTACTGTCGACATTTTTCTATAATATATGCTGTTAATTATCAAATTGCTCCTATATGACCACCTCCTCACCTGTAAAATGATACGTTTCAGTGGTTGACGGAGAATACAAAGATCTGTGAACATTGCAATAATCCCACGAAAGTTTGGGTCCTTGAGCCTCTGCCCACATGGAAATATGTCGCATAATCAACCGTCAGACTATTGCACCAAACATACTCACCCAATGTTGACAACACCCCTCATACTTAACATCTGCTTCAGCTGAGTAGGTTGACCAGACCACACACTGGAAAGTGAAAAGACGACGACGTTTCGGTCCGTCCTGGACCATTCTCAAGTCGTTAATGGTCCAGGACGGACCGAAACGTCGTCGTATCTTCACTATCTAGTGTGTGGTCTAGTCAACATTTTTCAGCCACGTTATTGTGACTCATCATCCTTCAGCTGAGTATAATTTTTCGATCAGTTCTGTACTTGTAAAAAATTTCTGGGGATAACACTACAATGATACAAATTCTCACGAAAAACGGGTCATGTTATTGGTAAATATTATCTGTGCCAGAGTTAAATATATTGAGCAGTTAATTGGAAATACTGTGACACTTTACCTACCTTGAGGTTTTATTGAGGTGGTTCTGAAGATCAATGTCCTCGTGGCGACAGTGTGGTCTAAGACATGGTCTTGATGGTGATCTGGTCAGCCAGGCTGTTAGACCTCGCAGCTCGCAGTCTAACATATGGTTGCTGTTATCCTTAATGAAACACACACACACACACACACATGTGGTGGAGGCTGACTCCATACACCGTTTCAAATGTAGATATGATAGAGCCCAGTAGGCTCAGGAATCTGTACACCAGTTGATTGACAGTTGAGAGGCGGGACCAAAGAGCCAAAGCTCAACCCCCGCAAGCACAATTAGGTGAGTACAATTAGGCGAGTACAAGTATTAAAACTTGTGTTCCAAGATACTTATGTATCTTGGCAAATCTGCTAAGGATTTGTACATACGTAAAGTGTAAGTCTTGTTTAGAACATTGAAGTACAGATATGATCGACACCGGACTAGTAGGATTCCAGGGGACAGAATCGCGAAGTAGTTACGCAAGCACTTACGAACCTGTACATCTTTTCTCAATCTTTGGCGGCTTTGTTTACAATTATTAAACAGTTAATGACCTTCGAAGCACCAGGAGGCTGTTTATAACAATATCAACAGTTGATTGGCAAGTTTTCATGCTTGTAAACTGTTTAATAAATGTAACCAAAGCTGTAAAAAATTGAGGAAAGATGTACACGTTCGTTCATGCGTAACTGCTTCGTGAATCTGGCCCCAGGGCTGAGGTATGAGTTGCGATGAGACTAAAGAAATTAAACCTCATATCACTCGACGGTTGAAGTCACGGGAGACACGATAAGCACCAAAAAATCAAATTAACAGACAGGAGAAAAGATCTGAAATGGGTCATAAGCTACACTTGAAGATGACTCGAATGGAAACATATTTCCGATTTAATCCAAAGAGACATTGATAGAGGCAGATACCATGTATAGACTAAAATAAGACCAGTCACAGACGACTTTTGACTGTATTAACCAGTTGACTGAAAGCTCACAATTCGAGTAAAAGAGCTGAAGTTCAACCTCATGAAGTAAACATTAGGTTAGTTCACCTTGACATTCTCCGTTGTGAAAGAAAACTCGTCTTCAATTTTTTAAAGGGTATACCCTTTCAAAACGGAATCTCCTCTTGCGTAAAGTAGAAAACATCTTTAAACAATAAAAAATTACTTCTTTTGCACTTAAGTCAATTTCCAGAATGGATACACCTTTGTTAATATATTTAACTGGTTAATTATATGTGTTTAATTATGTGAGAACTACAGTGCAGTTATCAACGACCTTGACTTAGAGCCGTGGATCACAAGTTTAATGTCTCTTTGTTCACTAAGCAGAACACATGTAGCCGTGACTCAGGCAACTGTTGTTAGTTGCATCCTGGGGAAGACCAACAATCTCTGGCCTAGAGGGACTAAGTCAAACCCATTTCCTGTCCCCAACTTTAGAAAAACAAAATATTATATCTTTACCTATCCGGATCTATATGATAATTTCTATATGTCTGTCTATCTGTTCGAGGATTGGAGGCCAGACATTTGCGTCTGGCCTCAAGCACTTTCTCGTGGTCAACTGTGATTTTTTCGCCAGAGTCATAGGGGTCGACTCCATTTCATTTTAGGTAGGATTCACTACTATTATTTTTTTTTTTTTGAGATATATACAAGAGTTGTTACATTCTTGTACAGCCACTAGTACGCGTAGCGTTTCGGGCAGGTCCTTAATCCTACGGTCCTTGGAATACGATTCCCTGCCGCGAAGAATCGTTTTTTCATCCAAGTACACATTTTACTGTTGCGTTAAACAGAGGCTACAGTTAAGGAATTGCGCCCAGTAAATCCTCCCCGGCCAGGATACGAACCCAAATTATAAAAAGCAGCGGATCCTCTAAGCTCCGTAAAGCGGGTTTGATTGTCTATAGATGGTGTTATTTATGTTGCTCAAGTGGCCCCAACATGCGAGCTGATTCGATAAAATTTTTGTCCCCAAAATTGACCACCGAGTGCTGTCGGAGGTCGAGTTAAGGGTCTGACGACTTCCAATCCTTTTGAACAGTCAGTGTGGTCTAGCGGGCTAAATACGCGATACGCTGGATAAGCTATGCATGGAACCCTGGCTGTCTGGGTTCGAGTCCTTCAGGAGTGAGGAGTTTTCTATAACACTCTAGAGAGCTTTCTAGAAAACTATAACCGGATGTTATAGTTTTCACTGGGACACAGCCTGCAAATCTCTTTACAACTAAGTGCCTAGATATTTTTCGATAAACAAATTCGAATCGTCCAAGCCTCCTGCCACAGGGACAAAATTCCACGTAATCTGTTATCATTAAACCTGCATATCCCTGAACGTTGAACTCAATTCGTTATACGTACCTATGGATGCAATTGTCAGCTGATATTTCTATAGTGTAAAAAATACTTCTGGTTAAAGATTTTGGATTCAATTATATTTCAAGCTTTAATGATATCATTATTGTTAAATTTTGAAGAGGGTCGAGTTTATATTTTGAAGAGGAGCCGGACACTGTCAAGTGTCCGGCTCCTCCGTCTTCGACAAGGAGCCGGATGCGGATACTTATTTTAAACTAGAGTCAATTTTCTGAACATTAAGGAAGATTATCTCGACCTCAGACTTAGACACACTTCCTCTAGGGAACTATAAGTGTTAATAACCTGAGATAGAAAGAGGTTGGTATGGCTTACTGTTGGCTATTCCAGTATTGTAATTACAAGTTTCCTTATAAAATGACTCGATTTCTATCTTCAAATATGTCCAATCGGCTTCAATTACGATAAAAAACGCCACTGAAGCATAATAATTTATATATCCAAGGTATTTTTGAAACTGCATGTAAATTTGGCTAAAATATTTAAAATTGTTTTCACTTATGGTAAAATTTCATTATAAAAATGACTGGATATAAAATGTTAAACTCAATTGCGCTAAACAATAGCACATAAGCATAATATTTTATATATCCATAGGAAATATATACATTAACGAGTATATTCGTGTATATATATAGGATATGTTTTTCGTTTTAGTGTATACATTACGATGTATAATTGTGTGTAAATACTTGATATACTTCTTTATCTATACTAGAATATACCCTTTTCTGATGAATAAGAATTTAGATAGATTTTTTTGGGGGAAATGCACTAAAAAATACATTTAAGTTCACTGACGTAGATTTATGAAGTCTGTACTTAAAAGAAGACGTTTTGCCCACAAGTTAGGCAATCAAGTTTAGTAAACAAGTTTTCTTAGAGACATTGTGGCTCTACTCCATTTCTTCTTTATCCGACGCAGGTGTTCCAAGGGCTGTTTGTTGCTGTAACTCACACAGGTGTTTACTTGCTGATTTTTTGGGCCGTAAAACAGGTGTTTTAACTTAGATGTTTTCTTACGGTGTTTGTTGCAAAAGAACATATATTAATGTGAAGGTTTGTTGCAGCTCACGTGTGTAGATGTTGTGTTTGTTGTAAACAACTTACTCCGGTATCAATCAAGCTGAGTTTGAGCAATTTACTTACGTGAGGACACTATATATTTGTTGAATAAACTCAAAGAGTTCCCGACTATTTTTTTAATGTTATTAAAATCACAATTTTTTAGAGCCTCTCATTTATTTCGACACTTAAGGAATTCAAGCAATGTTTACACGTAAACAATTAGAGTCGAGACAGTATATATAAGCAGAGTACAAGGATGAAGAGCTTGGAAAAATGCAAATACATAAATTATACATTTTGTTTTAAATGTTGTTCAAAACATCTTTATTACCATTTTGCTTGAAATTCTCAAAGATCTAGGTATAGCTTATTTTTCACATAAATAGGGCGACTGAATGACTGTCTTCAGACGTCAGAGTAAAGTTATTCGTCTGAAATAACTCCTGGAACAGTAATTCAGAGACCATTAGTCAGTTCTACAACGGCAAGCACCTGTTTTCTAAAGCTTAGAAACAGTCTTCATGTTTTTATATCCAGAGTGTTGCTTGGTTTACAGGTTTACAAGTGTGTAAACCTGTGTAGAGTTCAAAGTAGCACCGTCTTGTAGTTTACCACTTCTTGTTGTAGCCTCCGGAACACGAGGAACACCCGCCAGGGAGCCCTGGAAAGGAGGAAAGAGAAAATGAACTCTAGTGAATAAAATTCTTCAGATATTTGCAATATATTTGCACCTCATTTCAGTTTTTGTTACACAATTAAATCTCGTCCATAATCTTACCTGAGGACCCTTGGGCCGAAGCCGAGCTTCCAGCATGACTGCTAGCACTGCTGGAACTTCCAGCATGGCTGCTGGAGCTACTGGAGCTAAAGGCTCCAGATGAGGCGTGGCTTCCGGCACTGCTGGAACCAAAGCTACCAGCAGATCCAAAGCCTCCGGAACCACCAGCACCGAAGCCTCCTGAAGATCCTAGGCTTCCAGAACCACCAGAACCAAAGCTCACTTTAGACCCATGACCTCCAGCACCGCCAGCTCCAAAGCCACCGGCAGATCCAAGGCTCCTGAACCACCAGAACCACCCAGATCCAAGGCCTCCGAACCGAAGCACACCTCCTGAAGATCCATGACCTCCAGCACCGCCAGCTCCAAAGCCACCTGCGGACCCATGGCTTCCAGAACCGCCAGCACCGAAGCCTCCAGAACCGCCAGCACCGAAGCCTCCAGCACCGCCAGAACCAAAGCCACCGGCGGATCCATGGCTTCCAGAACCACCAGAACCGAAGCTCACTTTAGACCCATGACTTCCAGCACCGCCAGCACCGAAGCCTCCAGAACCGCCAGCACCAAAGCCACCTGCTGATCCATGGCTTCCAGAACCACCAGCGCCACCTGAAGTGAAACTAACTTTAGTCACCTGGCTTCCAGAACCAAAGCCACCAGCAGATCCTAGGCTTCCAGCACCACCTGAACCGAAGCCAGATCCGTGGCTTCCAGCACCACCTGAACCAAAGCCTCCAGCACCGCCTGCTCCAAAGCCACCGGCAGATCCATGGCTTCCAGAACCACCAGCGCCACCTGAAGTAAAACTAACTTTAGTCACCTTTGTTCCAGCACCACCAGAACCAAAGCCACCTGCGGATCCATGGCTTCCAGAACCACCAGCACCGAAGCCACCAGCAGATCCAAATCCTCCAGCACCACCAGAACCAAAGCCGCCAGCAGATCCATGGCTTCCAGAACCCCCTGAACCGAAGCTCACTTTAGACCCATGGCTTCCAGCACCACCAGAACCAAAGCCTCCAGCACCGCCTGCTCCAAAGCCACCGGCTGATCCATGGCTTCCTGAACCGCCAGAACCAAAGCCACCTGCTGATCCATGGCTTCCAGAACCACCAGCGCCACCTGAAGTGAAACTTACTTTAGTCACCTGGGTTCCAGAACCGCCGGCACCAAAGCCACCTGCTGATCCAAAGCCTCCAGAACCCCCTGAACCGAAGCCCACTTTAGATCCATGGCTTCCAGCACCAAAGCCACCTGCTGATCCAAAGCTTCCAGAACCCCCTGAACCAAAGCCGCCAGCAGACCCAGTACCAGAACCAAAACCACCTGCAGATCCAAAGCCTCCGGAACCGCCTGCCCCAAAGCCACCACCTGAGCCACCAGCTCCGAAGCCGCCTGAAGAACCCAATCCTCCGGTACCACTAGAAACTAAGAGGCCTATGGATCCAGAACCGTGACTACCTTTCGACCCAGAGCCACCGAAGCCAAAACTACCCGAAGAACCATGGCTTCCAGAACCACCAGAACCAAAGCCTCCTGAAGATCCTAGGCTTCCAGAACCACCAGCACCAAAGCCTCCTTTGGTTCCGAAGCCTCCGGAGGATCCATGACCAGATCTGTAAAATAAATTCTTGATTAGCAGAAACATTCAATAATTAAGCATAAATTTGTGCAAAATCTTAAGGCACGGTCATAGGAAAGTATTTTCCTGGTCGTTGACCAGACCACACACACTAGAAGTTGAAGAGACGACGACGTTTCGGTCCGTCCTGGACTCAATCGACTTGAGAATGGTCCAGGACGGACCGAAACGTCGTCGTCGTCCCTTCAACTTCTAGTGTGTGGTCTGGTCAACATACTTCAGCCACGTTATTGTGACTCATCGCCTGCATATTTTCCTGGTCAATATTTCATGTTAATTGCGGGGGTTGAGCTTTGGCTCTTTGGTCCCGCCTCTCAACTGTACGTATACACGCATATTTTTGCATGAGTTCGGGCAGACATAAGCAGACATTTTGTACCCACCCTGAGGAGCCAGCAGAGCTGAAAGCAGAGGATGACGAGAAGCTGGAGGCAGAGGCTGCTGCCTGGGCTTGGGCTTGGGCAGACGCAGACGACCTGGATCCAGCGTACACCTTCTTGGCCGGCCAGTCTGCGCAGCAGGAACCCACCAGGAACACCAACATTACAACCGTTGATCGCACTGAAGAAATATATTATCATTATTGCTAAGTGTTGATGTGCTACAATGTGTGTGTGTGTGTGTGTGTGTGTGTGTGTGTGTGTGTGTGTGTGTGTGTGTGTGTGTGTGTGTGTGTGTGTGTGTGTGTGTGTATTCACCTAGTTGTACTTACTTAGTTGTGCTTGCGGGGGTTGAGCTATGGCTCTTTGGTCCCGTCACTCAACCGTCAGTTAACTGATATAAAGATTCCTGAGCCTACTGGGCTCTGTCATATCTACATTTGAAACTGTGTATGGAGTCAGCTTCCACTACATCACTGCCTAATGCATTCCACTTGTGAACTACTCTGACACTGAAAAAGTTCTTTCTAACGTGTGTTTGTGTGTGTGTACAATAAATGGAATGCTTTAAAAACCCTGTTTGTAATCCAGCTTTGATCTTTTTGCTCTAAACGTGGCTTTGATGCAGATAAGATGAAGGTAACTCGGTTATTAGACTCCTTTAAGAGTGTTAAGGAACTAATTACCTATGAGAAAGAAATCTTAGCAAATGCAGCTAAATGCTTAAATACAGCTAATGTATTTAGCTTTATGTATTTAAGTGTATTTAAATACGTAATGTATTTAAATAATAAATGTAGCTAAATTACTGCCCAAAGGCAGTAATAATCATTCCTCTCTCAAACTATGCTAGAGGTCATTGCCTCATTAGTAATGAGACAAAAAAAAAAATTACCGAATAATGAACTTCTAAATGAAAAGGAGAATCAAAATCACTCACTGATGATGCTATGCTGATGTCGACTTTCTAGTTAGCCAGCAAGACTCTTCCCCCAATCAGAAGCCGGAAGGTCTCTAGATTCAAAACCAAAAATTCAGAGGTACTTTAAGTACCACTGTTTTTGACAGCTTCAGGTCCACAACAATGGTACAACGGACCGGTCTGGTGGTCCAGATGAAGCCGCTGGTCAACTGTGCACTCACTGGGCTCAACCAGAGCTTATATAGCCCCCTCTCCTGGGTTGAATGGTAGCAGGATGTCGGATTTTCCAGACCATTTCAGCGAACACTCCGGTTAGCGGACCGGTTCCGGGAATATATGCGCGCAGATCGTCTTTCAACACACTTTGAGAGCAAGTCACTCCAGGTCTATTGGGGTTAAGAGATGGAGGAGGGTGATGCTGAAGAATCTATCATTGTTTATTTAGCTGTCCATGGTGTCAACCTCAAACATTTCACGTTTTATTTTGTTCTGAATTTAATAAATCGTTTTTACATTGTTCTTCTGGGCAAGAACAGTGTGTTTCAAAGTGTAAAGTGTAGGTTCTAGTAGAACACTTTTACAGTTTTTCTTCATATTATTTTTTATATAAATCTGACATTACCTTGAAAACAAAGGTTACCGTTTATTATGGTAATTAACTTATTTGATCATGTACACAAGTGATGACCTAATTCTTAATTCTGAATAATAAACTTTTAAAGGATATGAATTACATGTGATTACATTATATTTAATAAAATTTGAGAGTACCGATACGGTCATAAGACTAAAAAGTAAAAATTTATATAATTTTTTTTTTTAAGAGACTGAAGAAAGATCATTCATTTAGAAGAAAAATATTAATCTATACTAGATAACTAACTCCTCTGCTTTCGACATTTTACATTCTTTTGTGACTGTATCTAAGAAATTCGATATGTAACCAAAAAAATTAAATAGCAAAATAAAATTTTCAATTGCAACTATTTATATCAATGCATCACATATTAAGGGTCATAATTCTGAGATATGTATCAGTGTATCTGGGTGATCACATTTTTTCTATATAAATTTGTACTTACTCAGGTTATGAAGAGAGTCAGAAGGTTGAGTTATTTACAACTGAGAAAGATTCATGGCTTAAATGCCTTTCTGAGCCCCTGAAGTAGTATGCTTCTACTTAAAAATTCTAATAGATTAATTCGATTTGTCGAGAAATAAGAAGTCTGTGTTTATAAATATACTTCAGTAGTTTATTGAAGTTCCTCCAATGTCGAGCTACTGACCCCTTCCCATGGTCACATCTCCAGTGACGCAACTGAAGATGTGACGTCCATCTTCCCAGGAAACAACTACACACATCATTTACGTAACATCCGAGCACCTATTGTTTGGTGAAGAGAGGCATTAGGTGAAAGGAAAACTATGTAACTAGTCCCTTCCCGCAGTAGCTTACATGTAATTGATCTTCATCTTTGAATGAATTCCCCCCACATATGTCAACCCTTAGTTTTATTGTTTCGAACGTAAGTTAAACGAATATATGAGTTTCAGTGGATATTCCATTCAGCTGGGTTGTAGGAGACTCGAACCCTGGAGCCCACGAGTGTGAGGCCGAAGCTCAATCGACCGAGCTATTGAGTGGTCGTAATAAGGAAAGTTTTCTTATTATTTGTCTGTGGATTTAACTAGGAGCGGAATCGTTTTGGCTTATAGGCTTTCTAGACGAGAGGGAACTATCAAGAGAAAACACAAGGCTATTACGACTGTATACCACATGGAAGGGGTCAGGATAAGGATTTGGGATGGGACAGGGGAAAGGAATAGTGTCCAATGAACAAATCCACAAGGGCCGTGACGAGGATTCGAACCTGCGTCCGGGAGCATCCCAGCCTTAATCGACTGAGCTACGACAGGGTTAAAAGGGTTGAAACCGAAGTTCTACTGAACTTACTGGAACTTACTACGGGATCCAGTAAGTTCAGTAGAACTTCGGTTTCAACCCTTTTAACCCTGTCGTAGCTCAGTCGATTAAGGCTGGGATGCTCCCGGACGCAGGTTCGAATCCTCGTCACGGCCTTGTGGATTTGTTCATTTGATGCATCACGTTAGTGTGATCTCTGTGTGTGGAATAGTGTCCAACTACTCGCACAGTCAGGGATTGAACGCCGACCTGCATGAAACTCTACCGTCGCTCTTCCGTCTAGCCCAAGTGGTTGGGTTAGGCTTTCTAGAGTTCCAATTATCCTTACCCAACCACTTGGGCTGGACGGTAGAGCGACTGTCTCGCTTTATACAGATCGGCGTTCAATCCCCGACCGTCCACAAGTGGTCGGGGCACCATTCCTTCTCCTCGTCCCATCCCAAATCCTTATCCTGACCCCTTCCCAGTACCATATAGTCGTAATGGCTTGGCGCTTTCCCTTGATAATTCCTTATGTTCCTATGATAAAGGATCTCCATTACTAAGTTATTACACCCACCGCCAGAGGGCCAGGACACAGCCATCCACCTGCTGGGCAAATCCGGATTATCACCGATTATCACCGATTATTTTTGTAATTTTGACCTGCATAGGTTTCAGGTCAAGGAGGGTTGGCTGCACCTCGTTGTCCATGACTTTGCTTAAAGCCAGGCTCCTTAACCGGCCACCTGCTAAGAGGTCCCATTACCGGACCCAATGTCTGAAGGACACTATTCTCGGGCACATGTATAGAGGGTCTCTTTACCGGACCATTGGTTAAAGGGCCCCTCTTACCGAACCAGTGGATAAATGGCCACATAATCGGACCATTGGGAGAAAGGTTGTCCCTGTTACATTACTCCTGAATTAAAAGGACGTCCATTACCGGACTAATAGCTGAATGGACGCTCATAACCGGATTACTTACTGAAAAAACGTTAATTATTTTTTGAGATATATACAAGAGTTGTTACATTCTTGTACAGCCACTAGTACGCGTAGCGTTTCGGGCAAGTCCTTAATCCTATGGTCCCTGGAATACGATCCCCTGCCGCGAAGAATCGTTTTTTCATCCAAGTACACATTTTACTGTTGCGTTAAACAGAGGCTACAGTTAAGGAATTGCGCCCAGTAAATCCTCCCCGGCCAGGATACGAACCCATGACATAGCGCTCGCGGAACGCCAGGCAAGTGTCTTACCACTACACCACGGAGACTGCCAATCACAGGCTAAAGGCCCGTCTAACTACCGAATTACTGACTAAATGACCGTCGATAATTGGACGACTGGATAAAGAACCATTCAATTCCGCACAACTGCTTGATGGTTGACATTAACTTTCCCCATAAAGGACAAAATTAACATAGGTTATCTTGAGGTTATCTTGAGATGATTTCGGGGCTTTAGTGTCCCCGCGGCCCGGTCCTCGACCAGGCCTCCACCCCCAGGAAGCAGCCCGTGACAGCTGACTAACACCCAGGTACCTATTTGACTGCTAGGTAACAGGGGGCATAGGGTGAAAGAAACTCTGCCCATTGTTTCTCACCGGCGCCCGGGATCGAACCCGGGACCACAGGATCACAAGTCCAGTGTGCTGTCCGCTCGGCCGACCGGCTCCCCTAGGCTAGTTATCATGCTAAATGTATAACCACATCTGTGGTAAATATAATAATGAAACACACCGAATTATTAGCTGATAAGCCGTCCATTACTGAATTACTCTCAGATCGACCGCGCAAATTTAGTGAGCAAAGATATTAATATATAAATTATCTAAATATTTACAAAAAAATCACATAATAGCATAAAAAGTATTTTTTTATAGTAAACTACATATCTATATTATTACCAAAGCCAGTAATATTATGAAGCTAGTTAACGTTATGAATTACGTCACTGGACTAGTTATCCAATAGGTCACTGTTCTAGCTATCCAATAGGCCACTGTTCTAGTTATCCAATAGGTCACTGTTCTAGCTATCCAATAGGCCACTGTTCTAGTTATCCAATAGGACACTGTTCTAGTTATCCAATAGGTCACTGTTCTAGCTATCCAATAGGTCACTGTTCTAGTTATCCAATAGGTCACTGTTCTAGCTATCCAATAGGCCACTGTTCTAGTTATCCAATAGGTCACTGTTCTAGTTATCCAATAGGCCACTGTTCTAGTTATCCAATAGGTCACTGTTCTAGTTATCCAATAGGTCACTGTTCTAGTTATCCAATAGGTCACTGTTCTAGCTATCCAATAGGCCACTGTTCTAGTTATCCAATAGGCCACTGTTCTAGTTATCCAATAGGCCACTGTTCTAGTTATCCAATAGGTCACTGTTCTAGTTATCCAATAGGCCACTGTTCTAGTTATCCAATAGGCCACTGTTCTAGTTATCCAATAGGCCACTGTTCTAGTTATCCAATAGGTCACTGTTCTAGTTATCCAATAGGCCACTGTTCTAGTTATCCAATAGGTCACTGTTCTAGTTATCCAATAGGCCACTGTTCTAGTTATCCAATAGGTCACTGTTCTAGTTATCCAATAGGTCACTGTTCTAGTTATCCAATAGGTCACTGTTCTAGCTATCCAATAGGCCACTGTTCTAGCTATCCAATAGGTCACTGTTCTAGTTATCAAATAGGTCACTGTTCTAGTTATCCAATAGGTCACTGTTCTAGTTATCCAATAGGACACTGTTCTAGTTATCCAATAGGTCACTGTTCTAGTTATCCAATAGGTCACTGTTCTAGTTATCCAATAGGTCACTGTTCTAGTTATCCAATAGGTCACTGTTCTAGTTATCCAATAGGCCACTGTTCTAGTTATCCAATAGGTCACTGTTCTAGTTATCCAATAGGTCACTGTTCTAGTTATCCAATAGGTCACTGTTCTAGTTATCCAATAGGTCACTGTTCTAGTTATCCAATAGGTCACTGTTCTAGCTATCCAATAGGTCACTGTTCTAGCTATCCAATAGACCACTGTTCTAGTTATCCAATAGGTCACTGTTCTAGTTATCCAATAGGTCACTGTTCAAGTTATCCAATAGGTCACTGTACTAGTTATCCAATAGGCCACTGTTCTAGTTATCCAATAGGTCACTGTTCTAGTTATCCAATAGGTCACTGTTCTAGTTATCCAATAGGTCACTGTTCAAGCTATCCAATAGGCCACTGTTCTAGTTATCCAATAGGTTACTGTTCTAGTTATCCAATAGGTCACTGTTCTAGTTATCCAATAGGTCACTG